AGTAAGGAAGGGAGGCCCCAAAGTAAGTATTTTGATTCCTTAGATGTTCTTCCAGGTGGTCGTACAATGCGAAATTCAAATATCAAGCGTTCCGGTTGTGGAGCATGTTTAAAAATTCACCTTGTTAATGAACCGAACCAATACGAAGTTTACAAGTTCGTTGAGCAACACAATCACATCCTTTTTAATAAAGAGGAGATGATGTTTTCCCGTTCGAAAAGGCAACTCCACTACGCTGATCATAAGAATGTATTTCATGGTTCTAGTTCAAAGGTTGGCGTCACCAAATCTCATAGATTTATGAAAGCTGTTAAGGGTGTTGTAGATTCATCGGGTGGCACTGTAAGAGATCATCAAAACTTCAAACGCGATATGGCATATTTTGTTGGCAATAAAGACGCACAAATGTTATTAAATGTGATGGATAATAGGAGGAAGGTTTGTCCGGAGTTTTTTTTCGAGTACAAGTGTGATGACAAGGAGTTGTTAGCAATTTTTTGGGCTGATGAGACTGCACGATCAAATTATAGGGAATTTGGCGATGCAATATCATTTGATGCAACGTTTAGAACCAAYAAGTAAGTTGTACTTGATATTAAAATATTATGTTGGTTTTATCAATAMTYTATCTTRTACCTTATATTAATATTCATTTTTTATTTTTGATAGGCATGCTATGATATTTGTTCCGTTCGTTGCAATTGACAATCATAAGAAATCCGTTGTTGTTGGAGCTGCATTGATTCACAATGAATCTGTAGTTGATTACACATGGGTACTAAAAGCATTTGTAAAAGCACATGGACGTCAACCACGTTTCGTTATCACCGACCAATGTGCGTCGATGAAACAAGCAATTCCCATTGCATTTCCTGAATCAAGGCATAGATTGTGTATGTGGCATATCACTAAAAAKGTGAAATCGAAGGTAATTAAGATGATAGTTTTTGTAGTAATTCTTTTGTTTATTTTCATTTTTTATGCAATTGTTTGATGGTCAAATTTGCAGATTAGTAATCACCTCCAACACCGCACTCAGTTCGTTAGCGAATTCAATAAGTTGGTGTGGAACGTTCACCTTTGTCCTAATGAATTTGAGATGCAATGGAACAATCTGATCGATTTTTATGGATTACGTGGAGATCCATGGTTTGATGAATTGTACAATATTAGGGAGTCGTGRATTCCGGCTTACTATAAGGATTTTCACATGTCAGGCCTAATGAAAACAACATCCAGGTCGGAGAGCATCAATGCCTTTTTTAACGTTTATGCACATTTTTGGCATGATCTTGTTGTTTTTCTCCGTTCTTTTGATAATGCAATTGAAAGTCAACGGGCAACACATGGGTCACTAGAGGTGACAACGAAAAGCACGATTCCTCGATTGGTGTCCCCTTGCAAGTTGGAAGCTCATGCAGCAGAGGTTTATACAYGGACTATATTTTTCGAAATTCAGAAAGAGTTAAGAAAGGCTGTTTGGCTTTGTGGCTGGGATGGATTCACTGACGATGGTGAAAACAGAGTGTACATCATTACTCACAAGAACAAGGCTTCGAAGGTCACAACAAAGTACACGGTATTTACTTTGTCCAATTTCGTTTTGCACCCATTACTGTTAATTTACATTTTAACGAACAATTTGATGAAGCCTCCTCCCCTATAATAGGTGATTAAGAACAAGATGGAAAACTCATATGATTGCAGTTGCAATTGTTTTGTTCGTAATGGGATTTTATGTCGTCACGCTCTCAAGGTGATGTTAAATGATGAGGTTGACAGAATTCCTGAAAAATATATACTACGTCGTTGGCGACGCGATCTAGTTCCCGTGGAGTGGTTACCAGCACGTTTCAGATATGGTGAAGTTGATGCAGAGAAAGAGAGATTGATGAGCTTGGCTTATTCATATTTTGAACGTATCTTAGGTAGAGTCCGAAATGAAAAAGACATTTTGGCCAGATTTGTTGACCAACTCGAACAATGGGATTCAAAGGTTGACATTGAACTTCCTTTACAGTCTCACACTGAAGAGACCACAGCGTCTATTAAAGAGTTTCTTGGAGTATCTCAACCCGAAACTGTTGATGTTCTTCCTCCCACCGGTATTCGAAACAAAGGTTGTGGAACTGGAAAGAGACTTATTAGCGCTGCAGAGAAAGCAATTTCAAACGGAAAAAAGCAAAAGAGAAAGTGTCGACTATGTGGTCAGATGGCTACACATGACTCTCGGAATTGTCCGAAGCGTGATTACATTTAAGCTATCTTTTTTATTTTTTCGTATCATTTAATTTTGAGATGTTATTGGATTGTATTGATGGATTTTAGTTCACTTTTTGATTAYGATGTTTTTTGGATTGTATTGATGGATTTWTAGTTCATTTTGATTATATTGAAGATCTACTTTTTGATTTTTTCGTATATGTTAATATTGAGATGTTAATTTATCTTTCAGGCTTTGTCATATMATTTAATCTTGAGATGTTAATTGGTTATATTGTATAGAGTTATGTCACTGGATTATATTGTTGTCGTATCCCTACACTTCATGAAACCTWTGTGTGTAGTGATTCATGATAAAATAATTGTAATGTATAATATGTAYCGGTGAAWCCAGGTTCATMAGATCAATCAGGTAAGCTAAGTTCATTGGTAAATTTYTTTACATCATCTAATGGCATGTACAATGTACTGATGAATTCTGTTTCACCATGAGGTAAAATAAGTTCARCAGTAGAYTTTATGAAATCTAAGTATAATAGTAACTAGGTGGTTTGATGCATAATGGTTAATACAATCTTCATAATGAAACTAGGTTTCAATTACTAATCTAGCTTAATTCAAAAGATGYACTAATGAATCAATCCAGTAATCTAAGTTCATCAGATCAATCCGGTAATCTAAGTTCATTGGTAAACTTTTATTGCATCATGTAAGGGCATGTACAAATGTACTGATGAATTCTGTTACACCAATATGTAATCTAAGTTCATTATTAAACTTTATGAAAT